AAAGAAGCAGTGTCTGGCTTATCCTGGTAATTCTCCATTCAGCTCTTCCCCTGATTCTTTGAAAGTAGCATTACTTAATATCCCTGACTACCAATGATTTTTATGAGTGCTATTTCCTCACTTTCAGGGTTCTGCATTGAAGATTATTCTCAACCTTTTATCCTTTGATTCCCACCCATCCCTCCATCATATTTAAAAGTTGCAGTTTTCTCACATAGAGCATTGTAATGTCTTTTGCTGCTTGATAACTGATATGCAGTCAACATTATTTCTATTTTCAAAGCACTGAGAACACTTTCCAATTGGCTTACAAATTAAACAATAATTAAAAATAGTATTCTCCCCTTATTCTTTTGTGACATGATAAAGTCTATTCACCATTTAATATACGTTCAATCTCTTCGAGTCTTTTCAAAGCAGCAACTCTCTTTTTCTCAATGTCTTTGATTTCTTTCGTAGATTTTTTGGGAGTCTCTTTGTCCACACTGTTTTTCTCTGTTAGTTTCTTATTTTTTGAGTGTTCTTTATTGTTATCAACTGCTGATTGGGTGGTTGTCTTTTCATTTTTTACTTCTTTCAAATTCTGAAATGATTTTTTTTTTTCTTCTGCAGCTGCAGTTCCCTCTGATGGAAGTGATGACTGTTCCATAGCACCGAGCGATGCAATTTTACTTCTAACTATGTTTAGATGACGCTGAATATATTCTTCATGAGGTGCCAGTGCTAGTGTTTCAACCAGACATTTTTCTGCCTTTATTAAGTCTCGTTCTTCAAAATAAACCACACAAAGATTATGCTTTCCTTGTACATTGTTGGGATCCAATTCCAAAATTTTTTCAAAACACATTTTTGCTCCAACGATATCCTTCTTTTGGTTCATAAGGATATCTCCTTTCAAAATCAGCCCTTTGGTGTGATCAGGGTAGTATCTCAGTAGGTCTTCCAAGACGGGCAAAGCCATCAATTCTTTTGCTGTCTGAGAATAAAGCAGTGCCAAATTGAACAAAGCACTTCGGAAGTTTGGCTGTAACCTTATGGCTTTCTTCATCCATGCCTCTGCTTCCATATCTTTTTTATCATCCATTGCCAGCATACCCAAATTGAAGTATCCATTTGCATCCTGGGGTTCTTCTTTCACATAATGTAACAGTCTTTGTTTAGCTTCAGGTCTAAGCCGAGCATCACCTAAATGATGGAAAAAACATTTAATTCTACATTTATTCTGAAGGACTTTTAGACCAGGCCTGTGAAAGGCTAATCTTTACACAACATAAAATGCAACTGTAAAAGGGAAAGGGTTTAAAATGCTATTTTTTATCATTGCTGTGTAACAGCAAAAATAAATGACATCTACCTTCTTTACAGAATGAAACTATGTACAGTTGATTTGTAGCCAAAATCAGCATCATTACTCTATTAGCTGTTGAATAGTATTTAGGTTTGGTATAACAGACACAAAAGGTGTCTCTATAAGTTTAAAAAAAGTTATTTTCATGCAGAGTTTAGCAAATGGAATGTAGAGCAGATGTCAGTTCTGACAAACCAGCTCTTACAGAGCCAAACTTTGAGCAGATCTAATTTTATGAAAGATAGACTGAAAAAATTTAGACAGAGATCACATAGGGTGACTTCTAATGTAACCAGGCTAAAATATCTTCTAAACTCAAAACAATAAAATCTGTAACTCCCATATTTTAATTTGCATCAAAGTTTGAAAAAGATATAGTAAAACAATTTTATCTCGATATACCAGGATTGGCTAGATGAGCTTGTGGCCTGCACTATTTTACTGAATAAGCCAGTGAACATATTTTAGTAAAGAATTTCAGTCCCAGACTTACTGAAGGATCAGGAGTTGCTTTCAACTGCCCTCTTTCAACCTCCTGAAACAGTGTTGAACTTTTCAGTATGAAAAATTGAATACTAGACCGTTAATGCTTCTGCTTGTTTAAAGCAACCTGTGCTTCTACAGACAAGGAACAATGCATGTCTTCAACTTACAATGTGCAAAGAGATGAAAAATTATCAATTGGCCTCTGCTTCTTAGAGGGAAAACAAATTTTACCAGTTCACTTGCCAAATACTCTGTGCAACAGCTCACACTTACCCTTACCCACAGAGCTAGAAGCTACACTCACGAAAAAAATAAACTCATGAAAATCCAACTGAATTATCTTAATTAGCAGTAGCACAGAGGAACCTACAAATTCATTCACTGTTCTGGAGCTAGACATAAGCCCACAGAAGTCAGCTATATTTCTGAGTCAATATTTAAATCAATCACTATAAATGCAAAACATAGATATTACACATTTTACTAAATATTATTTTTTAAGATTATATAGGCACAATTTTGAAGATGTTTGTGTAACACTACTCTTTATATGTATAAGACGTTATATTGTAAAATAGCACTTGTATTAAAGATGCTGATCAGCTAAGGTGTATGCACACTTTGGACAAATGCTATACACTACAAATTACAAAGCTGTTATAAATATACAGTTTCTTTTTTGATGATGCTATGTACTTCTCCTTTCCAAAAATAAAAAAGTTAATTAAAAAAAAAATTAAATAGTATGGATCCTATAAATGCAAATATGCAATAATTATAAAAGGGACAATTAACATACCAGATTCCTGCATTAGCAGTGCTGAGTTGAATAATGCCAGTTTATGCATTGGGTTGAGTTCTAGTGCTCGGTTGAAATTCTTCAGAGCTTCCGCTGGATCTTTCAGTTCAATGTACACAATTGCCAAGTTGTACCACAGGTCTGCATTGGTTCTGTCTAGTTCTAGAGCTCTAAGGTAAGCTTCCTTAGCTTTCAGAGGTTTGTTCATTTTTAAAAGTAATTCTCCCCTGTTAAAGAACCAGATTGAACTTTCAACTTTTATTCAAAACCATATGAAAATAATTGACAGGTTTTTTTAAATGTTTGCCTTCCTATAGACAGTAGATGTGAGATGACAGTGTTTTTTCTATTTTGTTTGTTTTAAACACAAAACAATACAAGATCCTATTTACATAACATTCCTAAAGCTTTCAGGTCTCCGAAGTCTGTATACAACAAATGCATAAGCAGGAAAACAAAAAAAAGTGATCAAGGGTTCCTGATTCAGCTCTTTAATTACACCGCAGCAGCTATAGTTTAGCCATTTTGCACCACCCTAAGTCCCAGTGGGATCACAACAAACTAAATAGTGAACAGAAGCCTCAGTAACCATATTCACATTACTCTTAACTCATCATGGCTAGGCTTCGTGAATGAAGATTTGGGACTCCTAACTAAAAAGTACACTAATATCAGCTAAATAGTTAATTCTTGCATTTTCAGGACAATCTTTAACAAAGAAGCATAAAGAAAGTTCCATGATTCAGACTAACCAAAAGTTTTTCAGTTCAAAACTAAACTAGGAGATTGGAAATTTCAGTTAGAGATTCATAAAGAAAGCTAATGGAAGTGTCTTGCTATACAATGTTTGAATACAAAACCTATGTGGAAACATGGCATTTCAAGTAGGAATTTAAAAGAACAGGGCTTTTAATGAATAACTGATAATTGTCCCAAATCATCATCTCATTTGGAAATGAAGCAAATCCAGCAGCTAATTCAACTGTATGAACTAAATACTGTCCATAACACTGTAAATACGAAAATGTTTATTCAAGAATATATATCTCTAAAATTAGAAAATATACCTGCTGATGTAAGCCTGCTTGAAATCCGGCCTCATACTAATTGCCTGTCGATACAACTGATCTGCTTCTTCAAGGCGAGATTCGTTTGCTCGAATTAAGTTTGCAAGATTGATATAAACATTCAGATGGTTAGGAGCAACTCTTGCTGCATACTTTTTACCTGGAATAATCTGTCAAAGAGAATATATGTACCAAGCACAGATGGGTAAAAATATGAAAGACGATCAGTATAGAACTCCTCTTCACTCTGCCACATTTGTTTTAGGGTACTACTGAACATTAGTGTGCAGGTTCTTAATGATTACAAAAAGCAATTCTTCTTTCCCGGAAAATCATACCCCAATATAAACAAGAGTATTTTTTATTCTTTATTTGTATGAAGACACAGACGACTTATATCATATTTAAGGTATCAGGTAACTAAGCTCTGCTACTACCTAACTGGGCTCATGCAGATAGCCATTAGAAACCAATCAGACCTTGCAAAACTTTCCCTATTCAGACAAAAAATATTTCCTAATGCCTAAACTGACATTCTATCAAACATTTCCATTCCTTTTAATAACCCTTCAGCCTAAGGTAAGTGTTTAAGTAAGATTTTACCACCCACTGATGTAGCAAATGAAAAGTAGTCAGGCAAGATAAAAATGCTATGACATTGCAACGGTTGTAGTGTTTATACTTCATCCATTTAGAGTCTTCATACTGATTCACAATATAAACTTCTGAATGCCATGCTTCTAGTCAAGGGGCTGCTGATTTTTGTTGTTAGTCTCATTGCAACCACAGCTTGTTACCTTCATACATTCTCCAAAATACTTCTCTGTTTTCCTCCTAAAGAGCTGAACAAGTAACATTTGCTAGCTATAAAAATAACTTAACAAATGGTAAAGGTAACAAAACATGTTTATAAAAGCATGTTAAGGCAACAATTTTTTTGTTGCTGCTCTGGTTACTTTCTCGAACCTACAGTAACGTATTTAAGCCTTGTCTTGAGGGCTCAAACTCAGTCACCATCAATGTATTAGCTGTAATTGAAAATAGACCTATTGTCACCAGAAACTGTAGGTGTACATTTTTAGATGCTGCTTTCTTTTACATCCTCAATTTCAGGAAAAAAACCCCACAACACAGTATTATAAAAAGCAAATCAAAACAATTTTAACAGAATTCTCAATTAGAATTTTTTAACAGCCATGATTGTATTCTTCTCATAGATCAGTTTTAAAAAAACCCTGACAAACTTTAAAGACTACAGCCACACAAAATTACAGGAAAAATACAAAAAATGTATAATGAATATAGGTTCTCTCCTGTGGTGGTAGATAAAGTTATACTGACCTGTGGCATCAATGATTTAGCAATCATATATGATTCTTCAGCTTCTTTAGTTTTGTTTAGGTTCTTGTAAGTTCTTCCTACATTCATGTGGGCACCAATATCATCTTAAGAAAGAAAAGAATGAAATCTAAAATACTTCCATGCACTGAGTATCGTGAAAATAAACACTTCTGCCTTCAGAGTAGTGTGAAGTACAGGTACTCTGCATAGACCACCACCATCACAAAAAAAAAAAAATCCAATTCTATATAATTTTTCATCTTAATTATGAAGCTAATAGTTTAGCCATGAACTAAGGAGGGATTATAAAGTTACTCAGGAAACTGTAAAAAGTTTGAGGTCATATCATACTTCCAGGTATCTATCTTTAATTTCTTGCTATAATAGAGGCACATAAATTGAAAGTTATTTATTAGACTTCTAAAAGGAAAAAGGAAAGATGGTCCAGTACTATCTAGAACTTCTTTTGTAACAATATGTAAAATAGATTAAATATGTACTTTGATGTTATCTAGATTTTTTCACTTTCTTACATACCTCCTTAGTTTTAAATAACAAAATGAAGTAATAAGTAGCCTCCATAAGAAATTACAGTTTAAGTTAATTCAAAAAGAATGTCATCCAAATAATAGTTTTTAATCATAAGGTTTTGCATCTTTTTATAGATAGAAGCTTTTTCTGAAGGACTTTTTTAGATTATTTCCAAAAACTATCGACCAATTAATTTATTATATGACATTGTTTGATGTTCAGTTTAAGAAAAACAGATCATTGAGAAGATGCTAATTAAGCTAAGCATATTGAAATACTAGGAGTGCAGAGATGACATTCAATGGTAGTTAGTTAAAGCTTTTACCTGGTTGCACTTGTGTGGCCTGTATGAAAAACTGCAGAGCTCTTTCAAAGTTCTTTTCATTTTCTAATGCGTGCCCCACATTGTTCCATAGTTTTGCATTATTCTTATTTACCTAAAACCACAAAAAAGATATCAATGCATAAGGTATTAAGCAGAAATTACATGGCAATTGATTTTTTCTTATCTATGTCTTAAAACATAAAAATGCACAGCAAATGACTGATTTCATGAAGTTTTTATATGTAAAGGATAACAAAACACTATATCCAGAATGATTACATTCAACTTGTTGCTCAACATCAATTTATTTTAGTTATTTGGCCCTAGAAATACCAAATATTATAACATTCATTGTAAATGTTACAGGATCTTTTACAAACTGTCTTATCATGCCATATGAACTTTAAAGACATTATTCTATGAATCAACCTTTTAGCAGATTTTTGTACTGAAACATATCTTGCTTTGATCCAGACAAGAAAAATTACCATCTATTTCTTGCATGAGAATTCCCATGTGCGCATGACACTGCTTTTAAAGCATTCCCTAAAGCAACTGATTATATGTCAATACTGTCAACATAGAAATTAATGTGCCAAAATAAGCATAATTTTTCTCCATTTTTATCATGCTCTACTGCAGCTTTATAACAGCAACAAACTTTCCATTATCCTTTCCAAATACAATACAGTACCTTTAAAGCTGACATAAATAACGTGTACTCCGACTCCCAATCCCAGTTCCTGTGCAGTGTTTTTAAGGCATGAGTGAATAGTACCGCAGCCAAACAAACCCAAGAAATTTTTCTTAGCACGCTATTAAATAAAACAAAGATTTGTTGTAAGCACACAAACAATTCTAATCTTAATTAAATATCTCATGCTGAGGCAAACAAACCAAGAATCACATTTGTGAATGGCACACTCTAGAGTTTGAAAGGAAATAATGCCTAATTTCAAATTAATTTTGGTTTTTACCTGATGTTTTTGTTATGACTATGTAATTCCCTTAAGAACAAATGCAATTCACGTGATAGAATGTAAACAAAAATATACAAAAATTATACAACTGTTATAACTTAGCTGTAATTTAAAACAATAAACATGATGGCAAAATGTGAGGTTCTCCAAAACACTATACAAAATTTTAAAAAATAAAAAAAGCAACTAAAATATCATCCCATCCTTTTGTTTCATATCAGACAATTCCACACAGGTTTTTTACTGCACACATTGCCAATCTTCCCCACACTGCAGAATACATCTTAAGAGAGAGGTAAGTGGAGACTATGCAATCTTCCATAAACAAATATAATCCTAGTGCTACTGTAATATCTAAATAGAAGAAAGGTTTAATGTCTTTCTAGCGATTTTATTTTTAAAGCTGCAAATTGGGGCAGAAGTCATCCTTTATGGCAAGCTTGTCAGGAATAATCTTGATTTTGTGCAGTTTATTTTTCTGGAGTTTAAACATAACATATAAAAAATATGCCTTAACATGCTGATCATTTTGTTTCTGAATTCTAACTTCATTATGAAAAAACATGTCAAACAGTCAGTAGCCTTCCTACAATTATAATTTTGTTTTAAGGAAATGTAATTCTCGAGAGGACATACAGTTGTTCAGCATGAACAGCTATTTCTTATACTTGACTTATGCAATGGTTGTTCACACCACTACCTACTTCACAGGGGTTTGCTAAAAACTGAAAGGTTTTTTTTCCCTCCACTTTTTAAGATATACAAAATGCTGTGCAGACTTAGACTACCATGACTGGTTTTAAAAATACTAAAGAAGTGGAACTGTAAAATTGTAAGTGAGAAATTCTTAAACACTAGCAAAGTGATCAATGAGAACTGGCATATACAGTAATCTATATGCCCATCAGGCTTACAAGAAAACTTTTTCTTTCCACATATTTCTAAAGCAAGGAGCCTTCTCTCTCTCATAAGACTTTTTAGAGTGCTGATCCCCAGTATTTTTGTAGTAAATGACACTGCTGCCTGATTTTTCTCCCCAGCCATCTTCTCCTGGTTCCTTGCTTTCTTTCACATCACTTCTATTTTTACTGCCTTGTAGTGGGATTTGTGAGAATACTTTCTCCTCACTCCCACAAGGTATCACTAATTTCTCATTATGCAGGTGCTGTCAGCTTCAGCAGCACCCGTTGGCATAAGTGATACTGCCAGGCCTCAGCTCTTATGATAGCAGACAACACAGGACTGTGAATTGCTGCCTTTCCATTTGTCTGAACTAGCATTAGGATGCCATTAGGGTAATAAGGGTAAAGCATCCAGGTCAGTGGGAGGCTTGTGCAGATCAATGTAGAAGATACCAGAAAAAACAAAAGCATGTGCAAAAAATGCTTCTAGAGCAGAATTTCGTAAGGAGAAATTGTTATCCAAAGAATTCTTTAGTTTAGCAAATACTGAATGGCTCTGATAGCCATTCCTAGCACAGAATATCTGAAAATTTAATCAACAAAAGATATTTTAACTTGCTGATGCACACACATTATATAAACTTCAGTCAGTAATTACCAGAATAGAGTATAAATTAAATCTGGCTAAGAAATACTTTTTGCCTAATCCTTAAAAACGTCTAGGACTTAAACAGAAAATATTTTCTTTTACAGAAAAGAGATGGGTTATACTACTAGGATCATAGGTAAAGTCTATTCTGTAGCAATGTGTAATATAAGGTACACTGCATTCTAAAAAGGTTTGATGCAGGCTGAGGCTCTTTCTATGTATACACATATGCTTATATATAAAATAAAAAATATATTATGAACTTGTGTGGGTATATAGATATATTTGTATACCTTTTAAATAAATTTTATAACACTGTCAGGATAATCCACCAGTTGCCTAAGAACTTCCTTGTTGTTGTTTGTTCACATAACTGTGAATGGTTTCTTGGTCATTACTCTGCGGTCATTAAGAACTTAAAACAGAGTAAGAGCTATAATGTAATAAATTCATACTGATAAAAGCTCTAATAGGAAATCTTGTAGTTATAAATGGTTATCTTCTGTGAAAGTAAGAGATGAGTTAAACTAGTTTTAGGTAACACCACCTTACCTTTTATTTGATAATTTCCTCCATCCATGTGCTACTAAAATGCAGAATCCCATGCTAGGAACATACAACACTCGTTCTGCTACTACGAATCCAACAGGAAAAAACAGGTTTGATGCAGGAATGAATGGTAGCACTATTAAGCAGAGTGCCTAGAAAAGAAATGCAAATGGCATTAGTAATCAAGATCAGGCGGTGACAAACTGTACCCAGGAAACAAATTACATACTAACTACAAAAATAATCCCAGAAAAACAGACATAGATAGTAGATATTTGGCTGTTTTTATTTTCAGCAGTAAGATCTGTTTAACATGGAGACATCTCTGAATATGGCAAGTAGTAACCTGCAAATGATTCTACTCCTTATTTAAGGGCTTACAAGTCTATTCACTTTTCTATGCTATAAATAAAATAAAAAATATATTATGCACTTTTCTATGCTATAGAAAAGAGCAGCTGTATGACAAATCACTAGGATCAAAAGATTAATTTCAAAACAATGTTTTAATAAGAGTTCCAGATACAAAAATAAGACAGTCTAAGAACCTTGGATATTGTGTTTTATAACACTTAAAAATTTTTATCAATCAGTATGATGCCTAAAGCAGCTATTTTTACATTACAACAGAGTCTGTTTTAGGTTTCTGTAAGAAATGTGAAGAAATAACACAAAAACCAAAATCAGCCACTGAATAAACATCAGTGTTTAGACAGTGCGCTAAGAGCACCCTAGAATACTTAAAGCAACAATGACCTTAAGAACTGCATAACTACAGGTCTTAGGTTGGTTACAGACTTCTTATCAAAAAGTGTGTTTAATAAAAGGCAGAGAAATCCATCTACTGCAAAGGAAGCGGACATGACCATTTCCTTTATGTCCTGGGTCACTGTTAAATAGCAGCTTTCCAATCTCTGGTCCAAAAAAAGACATGAATAATTATTCCAAAATATCTGGCCTCCAAGTTACAAAAAAACTGACAAAACCAAACCTGCAGAAATGGAATGTTTCTTTGAATAAAGAAGAATTTTCTAGAAATTTTCAGTACAACTGGCTGATAGATTTAAGCAAAACTTGAATTCATACCATCAATACTGTCTTGGAGGAATTATCAGGATATCGGAGACTGAAGACAATCAAAGCTCCCAGAAAGCAAAAGAAGGTCAGGGTGGCAACATTTCTAACATCTAACAAAGACTCCACAAGAGGAATAGTTCCCATTGTCCAGTCACAGCATAGTTCTGAGGGGTTGAGAAGAAGCCAAGCATTTACAGGGAGGAGGTAGTTGAAAGTCAGCTGTCTTGCTGGGGATGGACTAACAGCAGCTGGGTTATCAAACCTTAAGCAAAAGAAAGGAGAAAAAGGAGCTTTTAATGAAAAAAGATGTAGTCTTGATTCACTTTGTGACAAACATCAGATTCATAACTAGAACTACCAATTACAGGCATGTACAATATCCTAATCTTTCTGCATTTGTCAGGTGTGGGACTTTGGAATCACGTACAATGATTCACTGCAGAACAGGACAGAGCCTCCAAGTTTATGAAACTGGTTTGGGATATAATCAACTTAAGTTTGAAGAAACAGAATGATTTACACCTAAGGTTGAGTTCAGTGGCCCTTGTTCATGTTTTTAATAGTTTGTCTTATTTTTTCCAGGGACAGTAACAGATTCTTGCATTTCTACATTGCTCAAACGTAGGATAAATTAGTTTTTCAGTTCTAATGCCATTCATATACACTTATCTTCAAGCAGTCTATCCGAAGACAACCATGTTTTCTGCATATACATACCTAAAATGAAAAAATATTTTGCATGTAGAAGAGGAAAAACTCAAGAGGTTTAAAGTATTCAGCAAATGTCCACATACAGAGACAATAAAAAATACCTAAGCAATAAGACATTAAATTTACGAATTACTAGGACAAAGTCTTACAACTGTAAGTTTTTAAAAAAGGCTGCCTGCTCAGATACCTCAATACCTTGGACATTCTTGTCAACAGGTGCTGAAATATATCATCAATTTCCCAAAAAACGTAGTATTGTACAGACATTGGTTACCAACATTAAAATTAGTTCATAGCACTGAAGGTGATGTATTTTTGGCCATTTTATTCAGACCTCATTAAGTCATATCTTATTTATCGGCATCTGTAAATAAGAGACACTATTACCTTGTAAACACTGGAAGTTGAGACTGGATAACCTGGACTCTGACAACAACAAGCAGCAGTGTACTGAACATTAGGACTATGAGCTTCAACAGTGTTTGGAGCATAGAGAAAGGAATACTGCCCTTCCCTCGAAGAATCTGTACAGCTGTATCCAACAGTGTTGGCAAGGTGTACTGCAAAGCAAAACAGTGTTTATAATCAGTGTACTCATTACTCCCTTAAATATGAGCTACCTAATTTTTTTTTCCTTAGTTGTCTCTCAATGTCTGCTCCCAAGAGTTACTTAATTCAGCTTCTTAGTGTTTTCATGACAAACCCCCAAACCAAGTCCACCATTCTAATAATCTCTATTCAAGTATTCTTGCTAACACTACCACAGTTGAACCTGTATGCCTGGAGCTCTGTATTTTGCACTGACAGATTCAAAAATATTGTACCAACTTTGGAGACTTCAACAAATGAATCATAGCTATGATATAAACTGTCAAGAAGAAAAATCGCTATTTTTAGAATTATCAGCTCTTCTGAAAACTTGTCCTATAAACAAAATTCCTTACAAATGGTAGAAATGCTATTCACTTTCTGATTACCCTGGCTTTCTATTTTATATTATATATATTATATATTAAATAATGTTATATTTTATATAACATTATGATCTTTCATTATTCCCCTTTACATGGCTTAATTTCTTCCCTGTGTACCTCTAAGTCTTCACAACTTCTGCTGGAGATGATTTATTGCTACACATACACTGGTTGGCTAAACTACAGAAACTGAGAGGTTTCTGAGAACTGGTCAAATTCTAAGTTCATGTGATACGTGTGCATTCAGAAGAAGCCTCAGCTTGGATTCTATCTTTCCTATTTAGTTGACTTACACAAACTAAACTTTCACGAAATTGAGATCAGATCTCAAGATACTAAAAGAAAGGAAGAGTGGATTTAAAACCAGTCACACACTGATGATTTCCTTAGAAACCCAGTTTGAAAATTGTATGTTTATTCACTAGACTTGTAAAGGCAATAGTTACAAAGACATCTATGTGATTTTGGTATTTTGGCCTTGAATATGTATCCCCCAAACAGATAATCTTTCAGCTTTTACTTGGTGCACATTTTTTACAAAATATTCCTTCAAATAATTAACTTAAACTACAAAATTTTCTTCTAATATGCAGTCATACATTTTTTAATTGCATTTGTTTCAACTATTAAAATCCAAGAATTATTTAATTGCAGGAACAACTTGTTTCTTTAAGCAAATTTACGATTAAAGGCTTATCAATGCTTAAAATGAAACCTATCAGCTAACAACAAATTTTGAAAGAATATTACTTATTCAATAGGACTACTCCAAAATATCTGGTTACTCATTAGAAAAAGATAAAGTATATTTGTATATAATGTGTTCTCTGTTTTTACTAGAGGGATTAAAAACAAATAATCCCCCATCTTTATGCACCTCAGACTTTAATCAAGACTGTTACATGTTAGTATTTGCAAATTTCAGTTAACTAAAACCTTAGGTTTCCATTAAGACCTATTAAGTCTTTATTGAATACATTTGCTAACATCTCTGTATGGCATGTAAAGGATAACTTGGAAATCATTTGATTCCCTCACCATGAACCGTTTATGTCAACCATTAACTGACTTGGAAAAAATCTGAAAAATGTAAAAGAAGTATTGAGTTCACCTAAACTGAGAAAAATCAGCACTGAAATAGGATGCTTCAAAGTACTTTATGTATCATAACAGAATTCCTGAGATGAAATCCACTCTATTTTTCAACAGCTTACCCCTTGAGCAATAAATACTTCATACACACAGCATATTCCAACCACTGTTATTCCTTGTTCTTTACACAGTGTTGCAACAGCTACTAGAAACACAGTCAGTGCAATTGGAGTCCACACTGCAAATAAAGAAGACATTACTAAAAATGCTCTATGCAAAAAACACAAACATACAATAAAGTAAATTAACCTAAAAAGTAAAGAGTTTGGCTCTTCATGTTTGAATATGCCAGGTTTTATAAACTTGTTCAGTATGTAATTTCTTAGTAAAGGAAAGATTACCAGTTTCACTCTACAGAAAATAATACATATGTATCAATTTTAAAACTCTCTCTCTTAAATTGAAAGAACTAAATGAAAGGTAAAAGACTAAGCTATAATAAGGAAAAAAAAAACCTCTCTCTTTCTTAAATCACCAGAGCACTTTTAGAAATGGAATACTTTATAGGGATTCATGAATTTTCACAGGGACAATTTAACTCTGGAAAGGAGGAAAGCCTCCTTCACTTACACTGAAATTTTGCAGCTTATTTGTGATTGAACATCTGAAGCACCTCAGCACACTTCCACTTAACTTGCAATAATAAAAGTCAGTGCATGAGTCCCCTACTGCACATGTTACAAAACTAATGAAGAAATGCCTAAGTCTTGAATTAAAAACAAAAGGAAAGCAGTATTACATGGGTATCTTGGGGCTGATGGGGTTTTTTACACACTTGCTGAACCAGTACACCTCTATTACAGTTTTAAGAGCTTTGTTATCAGTGATAAAGAAATTAAGTTATATATCTATTTGTCAATCATTTACCTATGGTATTATCCGGCCCTTTAGATTTTGTATATGACAAAAAAGCAGCTAGGAAAAAAATAGATGATAAAAGCTCTGCTCTGCCCACAACTCCAGTTACCTGAAAAGTAAAAGAAGAAAAACCATAATTATTATACTTATTATTATATTTTAAGATAGTATTTGACTAGATATTATTAGTAATCTGTATACCTTATTTATAAATTGTTAGATATTTATTATTATATATTACATAGAGCTGTCAGATCTTTAAGGAAGTGTTCCACAGAACACAGGAGATAGGAATCCCCAGGAGCAAGTAACTGGGCAAGGAAAGCAAGGGGTCAGCACAGTTGAGTAGGGAACTGTTAGTCAAACAGAAGTGAAAGAAACAAATGTGCAGGCAGTGGAGACAAGGACAGGTAACCTGGGAAGAGCATAGGGACAAAGTTCAGTTGTGTTGGGATGGAGTGAGAAAGGCCAAAGCAAAGCTGGAATTGAACTTAAGGGACACGAATAACAAGAAGGGCTTCTACAGCTATGTTAACCAGAAAAGGAAGGTCACAGAAAGTGTACCCCCACAATGCTGGAAAACTGGTAACAATGGATGAGGAGAAGGCTGAGGTACTCAACTTTTTTGGCTCAGTCTTCAATGACAACCTCTCTTGCCACATCTCTTGAGTAAACAGACAGCAGGATAGGGACTGGGAGAGCAAAGTGCTTCCTGCTCTAAGTAAAGGTCAGGTTTGTGACCACCTGAGGAATCTGAACACACATAAGTCTATAGGACCCAATGAGATTCATTCCAGAGTCCTGAGGGAGTCCGATGTAGTTGCATATCTCCACGATATTTGAAAAGTCACGGCAGCAAGATGAAGTCTGTGTGACTGGAAAAAGGGAAATATTGTACCTATCTTTAAAAAGTGTAGAAAGAAGGACCATAGGAACTACTGACTTGTCACACCTCTGTGCCCGGGAGGATCACGGAACAGATCCTCTTAGAAGCTATGCTAAGGCACATGGAGAACAGCAAGGTAATTTGAGAAAACCAGGACAGCTTCACCAAGGGCAAGTCTGTCTGTACCAACACTGACCTTCTATGATGGAATGACCACAGTAGTGGACAAGGGAAGGACCAGAGATGCCATTTATCTCAACTTCTGTAAAGCCTTTGACACAGTTGCCCACAACATGAAGAGAGATAGATTTGATGGGTGGACTGTTGGATGGATAAGGAATTGGTTGGATGGTTGCATCCAGAGAGTAGTGGTTAGTAGCTCAGAGTCCTGATGGACATCAGTGACAAGTGGTATCCCTCAGGGATCTGTACTCGGACCAGTGTTACTTAAAATCTTCATTAATGACACAGATGAAGGGATCAAGTGCACCCTCAGCAGATTTGCAGATGACACCAAGCTGAGTGGTGCAGTTGATGTACCTGAAGGATAGGATGCCATCCAGAGGGATCTGGATAAGCTTGAGAAGTGGGCCCATGGGAACCTCACGCAGTTTAACAAGACCAAGTGCAAAGTGCTGCATCTGGGTCGGGGCAACTCCCAGTCTCAATTCAGGCTGGGGGATGAACAGATTGAGAGCAGCCCTGCCAAGAAGGACTTGGGAGTGCTGGTGGATGAGAGGCTGAACATGACCCAGCAATGTGCACTTGCAGTTCAGAAAGCCAGTTGTGTCTTGGGCTGTATTAAAAGCAGCATGGCCCGCAGGTCAAGGGAAGGGATTCTGTCCCTCTACTCTGCTCTAGTGAGACCCCATCTGGAGTGCTGCATTCAGCTCTGGGGTCCCCAGCACAGGAAGGACATTGATCTGTTGGAGCAAGTCCAGAGGAGGGCAACCAAATTGATTGAAGGGATGAAGGACCTCTCCTATAAGTAAACATTGAGAGAACTGGGATTGTTCAGCCTGGAGAAGAGGAAGGCTTTGAGCTGACCTAATTGTGGCTCTCCAATACGAGAAGAGAGTCCACAAGTAAGACAGAGAGAGACTATTTACAAGAGCATGTAGTGACAGGACAGCGAGAATGGCTTCAAACTCAAAGAAAGTAGGTTTAGATTAGATATTAGGAAAAAATTCTTTATTGTGAGGGTGGTGAAGTATTGGAGCAGGCTGCCCAGAGACGTTGTCGATGCCCCATCCCTGGAAGTGTTCAAGGCCAGGTTAGATGGGGCTTGGAGCAACCTGGTCTAGTGGAAGGCGTCCCTGCTCAAAGCAGGAGGGTTGGAACTAGATGGTCTTTGAGGTCCCTTCCAACTCAAACCATTCTATGTTTCTATTCTTCTAGTTGATAGTATCATGACTAATATACTATCAGGATACACAGAAAAGTGATCTGTAAAGCAAGCAAAAAAAGGCCCAGAACAGTAATGCTGCTTTCAGTTCAATCAGTACCAAATTCAAGAACAAGAATCATACAGGTGGCTGGTGGCCAACTGTGGCTGATACTTAGTTTAAGTACAACCATTAATGATACAACTGAAAAATGCTGTACTTTCTCTTAACTTTAACCATAAATAGCATTTAAGGCAGAATTTGGCCATGATAACAACTGTTGATTTCATAATACCTGGCAGAAATTAGCTTTTATCAATAGGAGTTCTAAGAGAAGCCTCACAACAACTCACAGAAGCTGTGATTGTTATTTTTTTTGTAGCTTTTCTAACTGGTTGAACAGATCTGAATCTGAAAGCAGCATTCCCTCAACCGGTGCTATGGCAGCTCTCAGGTGAGCAGTCAACTGTCACAAATAAATTGATGGGAAGCCAAGTGCAATAACGTTAAAGAATGACTCAGGCTTTACTACAGGTCTGGCAATTTTCTGAATGAAAATTTGGTTGGCAATATAAAAATTACAGGTAGTGACCCCTTGATAATGAGAGAGACAGGAATGGATTTTATGAAAATCTGGAGAAGTGCTAAAATGCATAGGGCAGAAGGTTGTTTCAGAATCCCCAATGAAATACAGATTAATTTCCATTTCAGGAACTGTTTTCAAAAAACACTGAAGTGAAACCAACCAGAGATGGAAGACAGGTCACTATATTAATGGTTACTGTAGTAGCCACTGTGTTTACCAGAGTACCTTCTAGGACTACTGTTCCTCCTCACTTGTCCTCTTCTGTAATGCCTCTGACTGCTTCCAAACTTTTGCAAGTAAGATAGCTGAAAAATGGCATGCTATCCTGAGGTAGATGGTCATATTCAGCTAAGGAAACCTCATAGCTCATGTTTTAACTATGATGATGTCGAAACCTGACTTTTTGCTGTCCAGCCCCAGCTCAAAATTTTTATTGCTAGGTACATTCTTGGTCAAGCATGATTGATCCAGCACAGCATAAAATGAAAAAGTAACTCAATATCCAAGGTCACAGTGTAAAGATAACCATTCAAATCTGAATCTGAAATCACACAGTAGTGCTTCTTTTTGGAGCACTGTCTGTTTACTAAACAAGTCACCGAATCATGCACAAACACTGATAAGACACCAGAGTTTGTGTTAACATTTTGAATAGTATGTAGGTGTTTGTTTCCAAAATATCTTAAGATGTTTCAAGGATTCCTGGTCTGGATCTCAAAATTGTCCAGCATTAAGACAGACATTAAAGAAAACTTTATCTGTAGATCAGTTGGGAGATCATTAGTAAAGCAAGTGTGCTGGTGTGCCTCCAGGGTCCCCCGCCAACAAAAGAGATTCTATTTTTGGATACAAAGGTGATTTATGAGAGAAAATTCCAGCATTCACACTGTTAGTTGACATCTTGTAGCTATAAAGGTGATCAACACGCTTCTGGCCAGAACAGTAGCAAAGTAGCTAGAAACACTAAACTGGAAAGACAAATGAAACTACAGTGCTGTTATTCAACCTATTTCATCACAACTTAGATATTACCACTGCAAGAGCCTACTACTCCCTGAAGTCAAACAAAAAAATAATTTCTATCTATCTTGCTCTGCTAACTTTTCCAGGAAAAATATGTTTATCCTAAGATAGGCAAAAAGTGTTGAAATATTTATGTATTGCATCTGCTGTTTCAAACTCTTGTGCAGGTGACTAATAAGTAGGAAATTAATTTGAAGGCATTTAAATCAGACAAATTTCGATTATAAAAGATACAAAAGATGCCATCAAATGACATAAAACGTGGAAGTGAGATCTGGTTTGGAGTTTCCACTAAAACCTGAGTAAGTCAGTCAGGACCCAAATCCCCAGCCCTAACGTAAGTCTCATTATTAGCTCCTCTCTTCCATGCATGGAAACTGCCAGTTCATCTGTACAAGTCTCAACTGCCAACTCTACAAATTCTTGGTTGCATATTAAGCAGAATTCTCAATACAAACATATGTAAGGATAAAATGCACTACTTCTCAGAAGCAGAGAGTTTAAATTGAAAAAGATGGGGGTAGGCAGAAGAAAACCCTCTAACTGATTCTTCATTGACTAGTTAAGTACAACAGCAGGGGAATTCAGCTACAATTGCACTTTAAACCTCACACTAAATATTTCAAGCACACCTCCAAGTTTCACCAATCCCAGTGTTACAGTGCCCTCATGTGGCTGATATCAGGCTTTACACAGTAACTATGTAATACACTGCCTTACACAAGTAGCTTTTGTTACAGATTGTGTTATAGGATTTGTATAATACTTTTTGCTAACTCTGATGCACAGTATAAAAGTACTTGTGTTAACTTGTTATTTCAGACAGAATCGACAGTTCAAGCATAATAAGGAATCAGTGAATTTGGAATGAAAGTGATAAAATTACATAGTCAGATCTAAGCCATGACCCACCAATATTAGTCACTGGCAAGTTGCTAATGCTCCTGTAAAGATACTATCACGTTTATTACACAGACGCAAAGCCAAACATGGAAATTTAAAGCACGTTTTTTCAAAGAGCAAGAAAACCTAAAGAAATAAACACATTTTTTTTTGCTTTGGAACAAGTAAAAATTTTTAGATGGTTAACTTTCGCATTTTTAAACATTCCACTAACATCTAGTAAGGACATATTAGTAGCTCGAATAGCAGCCAATTTTAAACTCAACTCAGTTCCTATAAAGATTTGCTCAAATACATGGATGCAGTTTTCTGAATTGTAACTGACAGGGATTTGTGTTGTTACTGATTAAAAGAGAGATGCAAACTCTTCACAGAAAAAAGACAATACCTCCAAAGAATCAAAAGATTCAAACATTTTCAGTTTTCTGAAAATCAGCTAATGCTGTAAGAAATAAAGAGACTGAATAAGGGCTTTGCAAAACCTCTGTACTGGAATCGAGGAAAGCCAATTGAAGTGATGCAGAAATAACAGCAGAAAATGCCTCAAATCTGCTTTATCAGTGTTTCTGACGGAAACAAATCTAGTTAATGGCAATCACAAGACTTCATTTACTCCACAGCACTGCAAGCTTGGTTGGTCATTAAAAGGTATATAATCAGACAGCTTGTACAAATAAAGCTTTTCATAGCAGTGAAAAACTCCCTCAGAACCACAGGAAATATGAGAAGACAGAAACATCTTTCTTCTTCCTTCTATCATATATGTTAAAAAAATGGAAGGTTTAAACAGAATGGCCCTAAGTTGGATGTAGCGTTAGCAACAACAGTCCCAGAGAAAGTCACACTGAGATAGAGATATTGACATAAAAGAAAGCAGACAGAAGAGACTTGGTGATTAGCCAGAGGGGAGTGCTTATTGATTCTGGAAATGAATTAGGAGGCATTCAGAGTATTTGAAAATAGGATACTGGATGAATCATCCTGGAACATGTCTATGTAAACTAAAGTAGTCATCACCACAAAAGCCAATGTTCATAGAAGAGACCTAAGTTATTTAATAACTAAATTAACATTTCTTTATTTTTCAGTAGCTGCAAGTAATATAAAACAACTTTGAGCATTAAAATTTGTCACTTCCACCAGTCATTGCAAAGGGAAGAGTAAGTATGAGTAAAACCACATTTTCTGGAGTTACAACATATATACAAACTTAGAAACAAATCCCACAAAGTTTAATTAACACAGCTTGAACAAATTAAGCCCATCACAGCTATACCTACCGCTTCCGTATGTATTGGGTGCACTGCAAAGAGCAAGGATGCAACTATGCTGCTCCTGTTGTCCAGAAAGAGCTTACAGACTTTGAGGAAGACTATGCAAACCACCACATGAAAGACCAGATTTAGAAAGTGGTACGAAACTGCATTTAATTCGCTGAACAAGTAGTTTAAGCGAAACGTAAGAACTGTAAGGGGACGGTAAGATTTGTGACTCCTCTCCTAAAAGAAAAGAAACAAATCAATCAGTCACCACCAACTTACAAAGTGACTTTCACTCCAAGATACCTTTCTAAAAACCTATGCATACATGACTCCCCCTCTGTTCTCAACTATCTACTTTCAAAATAAAGGTACAATTGGTAATAGGAAAAAAAAATAAAAAAATCTAGTTAATTCAATAAAAATATGATTTAAAATTACAATGTTAAGCAGAAAAAGTTAATTCTATTTTTCCTACTTTCACATAGTTTTAATGTATTATTCAAGTATTTTGATTACTCTCCAATTTCATGTTTTTGATCAGTATTTTATAAAATAAAAATGTGGTGTACTGAGCTAAATGTATTATTTACATATTTGCAATATATCTACCAGTCAATACGTGTATGTTGCCACTGACTCCATCCAAAAACCCTTTAAAATACTACAATAACACCACCTTCATGTTCCAAAATGCATTTGTTAACAAACAGCCTATTGACATTTTGATGAATTTGTCCAAAAAACAAAGGAAGAAAATCTAAGAAAAAAATGGGAGGTGGGATGGGGAGGAAAACAGATGGAAGGCGAATCAAACTGAACAGACAGACAAAACCACAAAATAAGAAAAAGTATTCTAAAAGCCATGAACAATCAAATTAATCTGACTTAATTTAGTTAATTTAAGATGACTTTCAGTTGGTTTTAAGTGCAAAATCAACACTGAATGAGATGGCTTTTTTCTACTACACATGGTTAGGGATTTTTTTTGAGAAACGACATGTTGAAAAATACTACTTGGAACTTTACTGAGAGAGTTAGGGGAACCCACTTAACCCTCAATGAATACAGGACTAAATAACTGAAAGAATCTGGAAGCTCTTCTTAAAGGGTTGTATGAAAATTATGTATCAAAGTCTGCTCATAGAGCTAGCAATTAGTATCTCACAAGTATGTTATTGACATAAGAAAATATTATACGGTGGAATACCTTGATAGGCAGAAAACCTATGACTGTCAGAGAATTTCTGTTCATTTGCTCAGCAATGGCACCACGTGTAACTTTTTAAACTGTATCTAAATCCTTCAGCCCTTGCCATGTAATGATGCTTATCAACAACTTCAATGCCAATGCAGCTTTTCAGATAAAACACAGCCACTCTACATGGGCTACAAAGCAGAAACTCTGATTTCACACAGATACACTTACTCAAATAAATTTAAAGGATTCAGTGTCTGTTCTTTAAGTCCAAGCTTTCTTGTTTAAGTGTTATCTTTCCTTCCAGACTGCATTTAGAAATAAATACCCCCGTATGTCAACATATAACTTTTGCAGGGAAGAGAAATTGGTCAGAGTTGTGTAATTTTGATACTGGAATTAGATAGTAATCAGCATTTTGCAGCTGTGTGCTGTCTATACAACTTTAGAAAAATATATATATATGTTTATATATATATATATATACACGACTTTTCTTACCAGTTCTTTTAGTGAACGAAGGGAAAGAATATAAGCAACATATGTTCCTGATATTATAGTACAAAACACTAACACCACCAAATTCCGTCTAATCCAAAATATTCTGTTAAAATCACATTAGGGAAAGAAGTAGAAAAACTCTCTGCAAGGGTGTTGGTTTTTTTCATTTCCTAAAGCCTCAAAGTGTTTTACAAAGAGTTTACCTCAGACATGGGAGTGCCCCAGAAGTCATTTTGAAAAAGATTTTTTAATGGAGTAGAAGGATGCAAATCTTTATTGTCCAAAATTGCTGAAACATCATCAAAAACAAAGCCACAAAAGAGACTGTTCCAGTAGCAGGCTGCCACCACACCAACTATCAGTGCTGCTTCCTTCAGGCTTACATCAGCCATCTTCTCTAAGAGTTTTCATGGACAAAAGCTGAAATACATGGACAGAAACTTAAGTAATTTTAGTAATTAGAAACTAAACTTGACAAAGAAAGTGAAATTAAAACAGTATTTTATAAGTTAATGACACTATCTAACTAAAAATCAGTAAGACAGAAAATTTTCCTCAAGTCTCATGCATGTTACACAATTTAGTGTTTAAAAACTTAACTAAAAATCAGTAAGATAGAAAATTTTCCTCAAGTCTCATGCATGTTACACAATTTAGTGTTTAAAAACTCTCATTAAGAAGTCTCACCCTTAAAAAGCCTTTGCAGAAGGTGGATACACTGCTATTTTTCATGTTTTACAGAAAAAAAAAAGTATTGATAACATATTGTGATGTAGTTTTTGCAGACAGCTATGCAGTTCAAGCAAATGCTGCAAACTGAAGAACTATGAAAATTAAGTTCTCTAGAATCCTGAGTAATTTAAAATATTGACACAAAATTCTAAGTTACAGGACACATATGTGTTAATTATTGATGGGGTTTAGGTTTAAAGTTGTTTTACAAAATATTTCAGAAGTAATTAAAACAAAAACAAATTTCAAATAATCAGAAGATCAAACAGGAAACTTCAAGAAGTTCATAAATATACGTGTTCAACAGGTAAAGGACATTAATAATAATTAAAAAGTTAAATTTACCATTGAAGCTCAAACCTTGCTCATTTGCATTCTTCATAGAAGTTCATGAAAAGGTCATTTTTTCCCTCCACTCTGCCAATTGCTCTGGTGTCACTGACTGTTCATGAGAGTCCTGTCTAAAAAAAATAGATACAAAAAAGACACTACAAATGAACTTTAGCTTACATTATTTTCTCTCATCTTGCATAAACTTCCTAAACCCTAGAAATTATTAATCAGCAATATTACGATTATTTACAAAATAATGTGGGTGAACTGATCAAAAGGTGAAATTACTGTGTATTGTGTTGTTTTAAATTACTGTTCTGCCTTGGAAGAATAAGAAGGTAACTACAGGTCAAAGGCATTAGTTTTGACCACTGGTTGACACAGCATGGATCACTGCCAACTGTTGGGACCAAAGATATTGAAAAGCTACAGAGAGTTAAACAATTACTTCATTTTGAGAAAAAGAAGAGATGACTGAACAAAAAATATTTTCCCCCAAACTACAGAGGGACACAGAGCAGCTAACATTAGCCAGATAATGCAGAGCCATAAATACATAAAAACCCCAGCCTTATGTTTATCAGGGTTCACACATCAAAGCTGATGAGCTCTTCAGAAGCTGTAGTCTGTTTTACCATCCTAAACCCTGAAATCCTGGTGATATTTTTTTTCCTTTGGTTTGCTGATTTTTTTTTTTAATTGTGCAGATTTATCACATAATACCTGGGGTTGGAAGGGACCCACAAGGACCATTGAGTCCAATTCCTGGCCCTGCACAGAACAAACCCAAGAATCACACGATGTGCCTGAGAACATTGTCCAAACCCTTCTTAAACTCTACGAACAGGCCACAGAGATCTCATCTAAACAGGTGACCTTGGTTGTGGTTTGCAGCCTGGACCTGAGAGCATGTCAATCACCTACCACAACTGGGGGCAAAGGAGTAGTGGTACAGGAAGGAATACATGTGAAGCAAGATGCTGGTGCAGTTAAACTAAAAACCAGGACACAGATCATTTAAGAGGAATGAAACCAAACCATTCCTTATTACTCACATAATGGCAGTGAAGGGTTTTTTTTACTTTTCTAGTAAAAAAAACCAAAACAATGTTAAAGGATGTTGCTACATCTGTTTCATAGAATCATACAATGGTTTGGGTTGTAAGGGATCTTAAAGATCATCTAATTCCAGTGACCCTACCATGGGCTCAGAGTACTTTAAAACACTAAGCCAAGATTACACCTGAATATATTTACAGTCTTCTTGGCAACCAGAGATATCTTATTAAAAAAAAAAAGAGGAAACAAATCATACTGCAGAAATACATGAAAAGATGGTCCACTTTTGAACTTCAACTTAAAGTATTTTAGTTCCCCCCCTTTCATAAGAAACTGATGTTTCTCTCTCTGCTAGAATTTTTGCAACAGCTTCTGAATAGTGCGCTTTCTACTTCTTGAAGGTCACTAATTCTACTGAAAAGCACTGACATCTGAAAAGCACCTAAAATCAATATATAATGATTTTCCCACATACAAGCCTTTATTTTTTAAAATACCGTGAAAAGATAACATTGCCGCACAGAACCAATTTTAAGGTTTATTTAAATTCACCCTTTAAGAAACACCCTTTAAGAAACAAGTAGGGTTTTGGTGACCTGAGGTATTAACAACATGAATTTACTGTATTAGTTGAAGCATCAAGCCCTTGCAGTTACTGCTTGTGTATCAAAGAGAAATTGTGGTAATCATTTAGCAATACTTTTCAGAAACAGCTACTGCTACCCAACTAGCAAAAAACTAAGACCGATTCCCAAATATTGCTTCCTATCAAAAGGAAAAGCTTAACCAATCTTATTAGCTCCTTCAACTATGTTTTGTAGTAGAACTACTACTTCCTGCTGGGTCCACCACCACACTCCAAGCTTCAAACCTGCAATCATCATTAACATGTTGAGAATGCAAAACTAAAGCAGAGGGAGGCTTGTAAAAGCTCATCTGTACTTGGTAAGCCAGGCTAAAGTATGCCTGCCATTAATCTCAAGTAGAAAACAGCAATTGCTACCAAAACTCTTCTCATGCCAACTAATCTGTTATCACTTTGATGCTGGAAACTAAGAAACCATGTAAGGAGTACACAAGACTGAGAACCTCATAAATCACAGATGTGCAAGAGGCTGCTGAAGCCTTGGTATGACTGGGCTCCTCAACTGAATGGATACATTCCCCTTCTTACCCAACAGACATGTTGATCAACCCAAGTATCATCTTGCAAGTGCCAGTATTTCACCACTCCCAGTGATGGATGTGTTGTTAAACTCTTGTAAAATACCGCCTAACAACTCCTTTCTTAACACAGACTTGCTGCGAGGGAGAACTGCATCACTGTTTGATAACCACTGAAAGTCTTACACATGTAAACAGACTGACAATCCCTCAAGTCATTTTTTCATCTTACCTACCTGCTACTTTCACAGCTTCTAAGGCTGCCCATCAGATACCTTAACCACCCTTTAGGCTGTATGACTGCCAGTTCATGGTCTAGTACACAGACACAGAGCCACTGTTTGACTGGATGAATATCTGACCACGCCATGAGGAATACACAGCTGAAAACATTAAACAGCAAGATAAGCCTTGAGAGGCAGAAACTGCACAGTCATGAGAGCCAACTGTGTCAAAAATACCCAAGCTGTGCAAAATACCCGATCGTTGGTCTAAATTTCTTAAGCTGTTTGGCACAGAAATCTGCATTTTGCACTGCACTGTTTCCATGTTTGTACAGAGAGATTAAGTGGAAAGGACCAAAGAGAATCGGAACTCTCAAGGCAGTTTGGCTTGTAAGGCATATAGTTTTCCTCTTCCAACTTCTTGAGATCCCTCTAACAATTCATCCGGTCTTCTCCTCCAAGAATTACAAACAAGACATAAGAAAACCCTGCAAAACTGAAAAAATACACCAACAAAAAAACCCAACCAACCAACAACAACCAAAAGCCAAAGCACTTTTAGAAAGGTAGGAAAACAAAATATTTCTCTACTTCTAAACCCATGACACTATAGATGGTTCAGCACCACATGCTGCAAAATACAGTAGTCTGCACAGAAAAACTCCAACACAAATAAAAAAAGGCATAATGATGTTCTAAAAGTATCCTCAGTTGGGAAATTTGGGAGTGCAGAAGACATTTTCTACCCATATCAATTTAGAAAAAAATAGGAAGTCTGTATTTTGGTAGGAATGGAGCTGCAATCCCTAAACATGCAAAAGCTATTTAGCACTCCATAATTACCTATCAGTTAATAATCATGCTATCTGCCACATTATATTAACAGACCCTCACAGAAGCAAATATATTTGTGTAAGTAAGTCAGATAGTAAGGCACATCTTACTATCTAACTTCAGAAACTTAAAACATACATTTAAATTTTTTCTTCTAGGGAGTAATGGCACTTTTCACATCCTGAAGGTCATTAATAACAACATGTGTTATGACTGTTTGCTAAAAAAATAGTCAGGCATTTCTGGAAATTTATTCACTACAGAGACATAAACTTTGCTAACCACTGAAGGTCCTGAACTGTTTAAAATGTATTTACAGTTCAAAGAGAAATCCATCAAAGGTGGAAGAAAACAAAGAGCCACTCCCAAATTTAATTTTTTTTATTTTTAAACAATTGAGCAGTAAGTTCATCTAAGAGGTGGTGGCTTGAACTGATGAATATCAGCACATATATATATATATATATAAACCAGTAGTGCAGTCACTTAAAACTAGCATTTTAATTCAACTTCTAAGGCTCTGCTAAATATCCTACTAACTTTTGCATATTTTTATTTTGGGCTAAATTGAACATTTTTCCTGCTGATTTGATACAAGTGTTTAATGACAGAAATCATAACTTTGTTTCTGTTGTCCCTTTCCAACACAGCCATTAAATTTATCTTCTCTTAAAAATGTCACTCTAACGTACAACTCAAATGCAAAACAACTTAGGTGGGCAGTTGAGATTTAAATGATTGAGTCTGAATCTGATCTAGAAGGGAAGCAGTATTTGGGAAGATGGGAGAAGTAATACAAAGCATGCCTGGATTCCCCTTTCATCTTGCTGAGATCCTAGAAGAGAATAAGGTATAGCAAGAAAAGCTTTATTGTGAAAGCCTTCCTCTGCAAATACTACCAGATCAAGAGGGATGGGATTAATACAAAGTAATCTTCACTACCCAGGAGACAATGCCATCCAGCCTTCTCTTCATACGGTTCTGAAGGATCAATCAGAAGAGGACTGGCAGCTCTGATACGAAGTCAGAATATGTTGCAGGCCAGATGAAAGATTTCCCAAGGGGAAGACTGGAGAGCTTGCTGGCAACCAAGCAGCTGAACTAACACTCAGAACATTTTAGGTTACTCTGGTACAAGCATCAAAACATAACACAACTTTAAAGTTGGTGAGATGAAGATGCTGATTTAGCTGCTGGTTTAGCTTAAATTTGTTCAATGTAACTGGTACAAATCAGCTGAAATACAAACCACACAGGTCTAGTTTGTATTTTAAGGTATTTTATAACTTAAATCATTAACAGAATCTCACATTTCAAAGTTATACCTTCAGGTTTTCTAGGGTTGAGGTTTTTTTGCTACATTCAAACAGTAACACAATAACACCTGTTCTATTTTGAGTAGCTACATAAAAAATATTTTGCCTCCTCATAGGACACTGATGCAAAAATAGCATCCCTGAAATAACATGGATCACCACTCTCAGTGTTCTAGAAATGCAACAGCAGAAACTGCATGTTTGTTAACTCCAAAGAATAAACAATCACAAGCTACATGGGAGGTATAAGCTGGAAACAGCTTTCAGACTCTGCTAAGTATGTCCTTATTTAGTACGCTGGGTCTATACATAATTTCTTGTGGTATTTTAAATAACACTCCATTAGATCTTTCATATCAAAGGTCTTTGCAATAGCATAGTGTTATCAAAGCGGCAGTTTAACACAGACACCTGTCAATCAGAGTAGGTCATACTGTGATCTATGGACATAAAATAACTTTTGCTCCCAAACTACAAGCACATAATCCAAATAAAAGAAGATGCACTTATGCAAAGTTCATCAGGTGATTAGATGTGATGCAGAACAAAAGAAAAACTAATTCACTTGGTTTAAGCCATGCTGTATTTTAAGCGTTTTCTTATTTTTTGTGGGGTTAACATCTCCATTCTTTTTACTCTTTTTTCACTTTTGGAGTTTCCAGGCCCACCTCAAATCCAATTCCTGCACCAATCTTCTTGCTAGATGCAATTAGAACCTAGATGTGGTTTCACTACCAGTATATGTAATGGTGTGTTTTCTGTTGATTGTGTAACAGAACACTAAAAAACGCTGAAGCACATTAAACAGAGCACACTAAATAGCTATATGGGCCTTAACAGTTTGTTAACCTGATGAAGAGGATAAAAAAGAAGTTCCTATAGCTAAGTATCCTAACATCAATGAATTATTTTCTCTATCACAGGAGGATCCATTTCCTGAAAGTTTATTTCGTAGCAAGGCACCATTATTCTCAGTGTGTCACTTGTTCCACCTATGAAAGTCACTCCTACTAAGAAACTGTTCTACACTTAACCAAAATGAATTTTATTTTAGTAACATTACCCATTCATGAAATATAATCTAGTCTCTTTCCCTTCCCTAACTACACAGTTTGCTTTTTGTAGCCAATATGGAACTATAATTAATCAACTCTAGATATGGTATAAAAGTCTTCACTTTTAATCTAAGAGCTATGCTGTGACTGGAACAAGTTGCATAACTATAAGGAGCGCCAAGCATCTTCCATCTTGCCAGCCTCCATTAAATATCAACACTAATGAAGAAACAGCAAAGAAAATTAAAGCAATGAATAACCCAGAAAAAGGGCAAAAGCACAAAGATAATATTATGATCATCTTCCCCTTTTCATTAAGAAAAAAAATAAACAAAACAAACCAAAAAATCCCCTTTAGCTCTCCACAGCTGTTGAATGAACAACTACAAAGAGATAAACACGTCTCGAATGGTTGCTGGCTTTCCTTGTTTATTGGAAAAGATGCCTTCATACCCATTTAACTAAAACTTTTGGGGCTATCAGACCACTACTAAAGCTCGGACTGTCTTGCTGGTCACCAGTACCCTATGGATTCAAGCAGTTTATAGATGTTACCTGTCTGGTGCACTACTTCACTCCGCAGAATAAACACCTCCTGGGCCCCCGCTATTCCACACTTACACACAAGGCACCCGCGCAGTCCCGCAGGCCTCCAGCGGCCGAGCAGGAATGAGCATGCCGCCCGCTACCCTGGGGCGAGACACACAACGCCAGAACGGGCTGAGCGGTGGAAGGGCCGAGCCGGGGCGGGCCCGTGCTCTGCTCAAGGGGCCGAAGCCGCACCGCAGCCCCGCAGGCCCGGAGGGCGCACCGCTGCGGCCCGGCAGGCACGGCCAGCGGGGAGAGGACCGAAACGACCGCGGGCAGCAGCTGCAGCGGGCCCGCCCCCCAGCCCGCCCGCTGCCGGCCGTACCCGAGGCCGTACCTGAGCCCGCGGGGACGCACCGCGGCTGCTCCCGACGCCGGAGCCCCCGCCGCACGCGCACCGCCCCTGCCCGCCTCCTTCCCAACAGCCTCCGCGGGCCGGAGGGCGGGGGCTCCCGAGGCCTGCCGGGAGCTGTAGTCCCGGGGAGCCGCCCGGCGGCGCGGGTGGCGCTCGGCATCCTTGCCCCGGCGGAGCGGCGCGGCGCGCCCGGGCGGGATCGCGCCCTGCCTGCCCGCCCCTTGGGACGGGGAGCGCCCGCCTGGCACCGCGGCGCCTGTCTGTGGGTGCTGCGGGAGTGCCGACTTTCCCTGCGCCTATGAGTACCCGGGTGTACGGGAGCCGAGCTGGCGGGAGAGTCTGACTGCGTCGCCTGGCAGCGGCCACCGCCGTCTCCCGGGAGCGGTGAGGCCGAGGGGCGGGCGGTGCTCCGGGGAAGGAGAGCCAGACCTGCCGGCGGCAGGGGCGGCCCGCGCTGCCCCGGGAGCGCCGCGGGCAGCCGGGCCGGGGGAGGCGGGGGCGGCCGCGGGGCCTGGGCAGCGTCCCAGTGCGGAGCCCGGGAAAGGCGCATCCCGCTGGGGCTGCGCTCGGCTGATGCCTCAGCTGTGTCTCGTGGTGAAGGCGGCCGAAAATAACGCAACTTGTTAGTTCATCAGAGTTGGATGAAAAGGAGGCAGAAGTGTCTCTCGGCAGCATCTTGGAGGGATCGCGGGCTGTCAGTGTATCATTGCTGGGGCTGGGATATATACCAGTTGGGAGAAAACTGGAACCCTGCAAAAGATCCTCTTTTGGTTGGGGTTTTGCAATTAAGATCTCGTGCTTCAGAGAGCTAGGCCAGGTAGTGCAATTTGAAAGTCCAGGAGTAGCTTAATCTGAGATGCCCATAGTAAATAAATACAGAGCTAGCCTTGTGTCTATGATGCTTCTTGGTATTCAGTCTTGCTCGAGTGTACATGACTCTGTGCTGGCCATTATACACGCCTATGCAGAAAAAGAACAGCTGTGCCTACTGGTGCTTGATTTCACTGTGTTGATAAGGTATCATCATGTCAGCTTAGCCACCTCTTTACGTGGTTTCCTTTAGGCAGCATGGGAATTGTTGGTCTGATCATACTTGAACACACTCACCAGATCTTTTCTATCTGCCCGTGCTGCACTTTGCAACAACTACCCGTTTTATGTATGTTTGATTCCTTGAGTAAGTCAAGAAAGGCTTGTGATAACTAATGTCACATGCATATCTATTTCACTCGTTTTGTAGACCCCTGATCTCAGTGTCTCATCACACAGATCATCTGTCCACTAAAGCCGCAGGTTTAACTGAAGGCAAGGGATGAGTTAAATTTTATGATGGAAAACTCTTCAATTAAATAAATTTTCTCTTGTTGTCCTTAAGTATGTACATACTGTAGAACATATTGTATGCATAGGTTGTGCCCCCCCCACCTTCCTATGGTCTCCCAACAAGTTGGATTATTTTGTTTATGTACAGATATGTCTCCTTTTGGATAAAATTTTCTGACATTTTCTTCAGATATTATTTTGTAAGTTAAGAAAAAAAGATATTCGGAAGATGGAAGGTAGGAAAGGATTGACAGTAGTAAGGTTGTATATTTGCTTTCAGAATAGTTTTGATTATTGGCCATTTCATACTTGTAAGCCCTACATCTCATTATTTAAGAAAAAATGACTGTGTTTAAAAACTCTGATCATTAAACAAGTGTGTTATTGAAATCAAGTAGTATTCAATTAACTGAAGAAGTGCCAAGATCAATATTCTTCTGGTATTATCCTTTGCCACCTACAACAATGCAGAAAAGCAAAAATCTATATATGATGTCATCCTTATGAAGTCATGGATTATATATAATGCATGTTTTATGTTTAGCAAACATTGAAGAAATATAGTTAATATTGGAGAGCTCTTGACTAGTTCACATATTGAGAAAAGATGAGGAAAGGTTGATTTTTATCATCCCTTAAGCATACAGCTGGATTTCAAGGTCCTACAGCTCTTCTTTTCAGAATGATTAGGCATGTTTTTTGGCAAAGTAATACCAGTAATAAAAATGTCACTTTTATTAAGGGAGAAGTTTTCAGTTGTTGAGTCTTTCAACTGCTGAACAATGAACAGGGTACATGACGGAAGAGATCTCAAAATATCATGCTCAGTGTAGAGCATTGTTGGAGCTACTGATTGAGCTTAATTTTTTCCTATAGAAGAGAATGCTCTGACATTAGTTTTTTGAATAATTTATTATTCTAGTTAGTTTTATTTCTTTCATAATTGAAAATTATTTCTTGAGCATTTATACCATGTTAATAATTTAGGGGAATAAGTAGCTTAAAAACGCTCTGTTTAAAATTTGGCAGAATTTACTGTTTGAAATACTGATCATAAAGGCTAGAGATAGCTCCAGAGGATAGAATAATCCAAGATATTCAATCTCTTCTGCCTTTTTCAGACACTGTATTGGCTTTTAGGCATGTGAGAAGTCACCGTGACCCACAACAAGCAGTAGGTAAACAGTAGAACAAAACTTTCCACCACTTTCGGATCAGATTTTTGTCAGTTTCCAGGTAGATTCATGTCCTATGTCAATTCAAGTATTCTAATCATCCCCCCGATATTTAACTGAAAGAGTTTAATATCTTATAAATTAGTGTCAAGAAATGGGTGCTCACAGTATCAAGCTTAAAGAAGGTGTTGGTTGTGTTTTAAATATTAGAAATAGCGATTTTTGTGACTGTAAGGAGATGTTTATCCTACAAGGGCTGGTTCAAGGGGCATCCAGTTGTGTTTGTTCATTAGCATAAAAATACTACATTGCTAGATGGGGAAGAAAACAACGATATTAAAGTTAAAATATGGGTTTCACAGATGTCCTGATCTTCACTGTTAGTGTCAAAAATTCATTGAGTATGCATGGTGTAATTTTTAACTTAAAGAAAAAAGGTTTTACTACGACCTCCTAGTTTGCAGTAGTTCAAAATGTGAACAAAGTGTTAAATCAGTGTTACAAATAGATACAATTAATAGAATCATCTTGTGTGGTTCAGTGGCCAGCCTCCATTTAATCATTTGACCTGAAATTGACTGGCACTGATAATACTTGATAACTGTTATTTTTATTTTTGTTTTAGGAAAAAAATCGTGAATTCAATATGGCACCTATTTTAGATTGGAAGAAGCTTATGAAAGTGGATCCAGATAGTCTGCCTCATCAAGAGGAACTAGCAGACAGATTGCTGGAGACCATGTCCAAGGTACTTAAGAGAAGAAGAGAACATAAGGGTTTGTTATATGTTCTTCCCTAAATTGTCTCTGGTCCTTCACATACCTGAAAGATTTATTTTGTGGATTTCATAGATATTAGTATAAAAACACTGTTGTCTCTTTCGTTAGGTTGATGGGAAAGACTTAAAAACTGAAACTCCAGAAAAACTGATACATCTTTTTAAAATTACTCAGTCTCTATTGAAGGTTTGTGTTAATCCTCAATTACTACAATTCTGCAGATGCATTTGTTTATTTTTTTGTTTAAATGAAAGCATTATTCTTTTTTTATTCTGAGAACACTGGTTACTCTAAGATAATTTATATGCTAAATGTGTGCTAGCACCAAAGTACCTGCATGTGGCTGTAGGCATTTAGTAGTGGGAAGTGAAGTAAATTGGACTAACGTAGTTATATAGATGGAAAATGCAAACAAATTTCTCAAAAATTGGTTAGATGTTGTAAGTTATTTGTAATGATTTTAATTTAATAGAACTTTTTGTGAGACATTGAAGTTTTAGAGCAAATAAAATTATCACCATGCATGAAGAAACACCACCATTCTAAAACTGATCCTATAAATCTGTCATACATTCTTGTATTTATTCATAAATGTACCGAAAGGAAGAAATAACAGCAGCATAGGGTAGCACATTGGTTTTAGAGAGGCTGTTTTACTGCCTTTAATTCTCCGCAGTATAAATGTTTTGAACGTTTGGGTGTCCCTATAGAATGAATTACTAAAGAAGATACTCTGAACTCCTAAATTGTCCTCATAAGGAAAAATGGGAGTAATTTGATTTGTTTAAAGAAAGTCTATGTTCTTTTGTAAATATTGTCGTCATTTTAAACATGAGATGTACAGAACAATCCTAATGTATGTTAATAGTAAATATTTTTGCTTACTGTACTTTTCTCAGATGAAGACTCAAGAGGTAGAACTGGCACTAGAAGAAGTTGAAAAAGCTGGGGAAGAGCAAGCCAAATGTGGTAAACAAGCTTTAATATGCTGTTCCTAAATGATTTGTTAAATGTATTTTTTAGTATTGTTGTTGTCATTGGTTTTTTGTGGGTTTTGGTTTGGTTTGGTTTGATTTTTTGGTTGTTTTGGGGTTTTGTGGGTTTTTTTTGGTGGCTTTTTCTTTAAGTTTAGGGAACTGGACAAAATACCAACTGCTCTGAAGTCAATTTCTTCAATGAAGCCAAATTTTTAAAGATTGAGGTTAACCATTGTTGTTTTATGTGCTTTCTGCCTTGTTGAGTAATTCACTATATCTGTTCTATTTTAACAGAAAATAATTTTAAAACAAAGATGATGAAACTTCAGAATGAATTAGAGGTATGTTTTAAAATTTTGTTAGTTTATAGAGTGCTCTTTGGTGAGGTTTTTAAAAGAGTTTTTTTAGACTAGTATTTTAATCTTGTAAAGAGATGAAATAGCCCTACACTTTAGCAAATTCTATTAATGGGTTTTTAATATTCACTGGTCTTGTGTGAGTAATTACTTGTATTTTATATACTTGAATAAATCCCATTTATTGTAGTCTTACCATCTGCTTTGTTTTTTAATTTTTTTTTTCTGTTTTGAATATCTGTTCTGTATTTATAATGTTACTTTAATGCTCATAAGAAGGCACAAAGATCTGCTGCTGGTCGCGATACTCGTTTTTTGCGTGATGAGATGCGCCAACTGCAAAAACAATTAGAACAAAAAGAGAGACAGTTAGCAGATCTAGAAGAAGAACTGGAAAAAGAGAAGAAAGTGAATGAACAGGTAATAAGGACTTCAGCTTAACATCTCTAAAAGCGGTTCTGTCAA